CCACAGACCTCCAACCACCATGGAAGATCAGCTGTGTAGGGACCCATCCCACAGAGCAGGACTTACTTCAGTGGGGCTCCAGTGCCCACTGAGTCTGCCCCTTGAGTGTATCGCTTATGAAGTGGTGGCTCTTCAACCTAGTCTGAAGCTGTCCACATTGGGTGTGCTAGCTCTGGGGCCTCCAGGGAGGTGCAGGCTGTTTGTGTTCTGCATGGAGCCACCTGGCATGAACTAAAAAGTGATCTGTAGATGGCTGCTACTTGTGTTGGTCTTAGAGGTACTAAAGTGAGGCCAAGCCGTGAACCAGAGCCCACTGTGGCTAGTGCCAGGTCTAGGGTCACTTTGTAAGAGGTATGGGGCACACTGAGGCCAGATGCTACTTGAGAGATTTTAGGAAATTCTGAAGCATGAGTCAAGACAGGCCATTCGTATGGAAAAGCCACTGGAAACAGCTTGGGTGGGCCTAAAAGTTGAGTGAATAGGTCCTCAGGGAATCACCAGATTGGGGCAAACAGCATGAGCCAGGTTGATGGAGTCTCAGATACGGCACCTATCTGCCTTCTGAGTGGGGAGGGCTCATCAAAGGAACAATGGCCTCTGCCAGCACTTCTCCCTGGGAGAAACCTGTCCCCTCAGCTCTCACCCTGATGCCAGACTCCCCTATGTCTTGGGTGCCTTCTGAGCTGCTGCCCAATGCTGAAGCTAAATGGGAGTGAGTCCAAGTAAGTCCATGCATGGGCCCTTTAAGAGGAACTGCCTGGGATTCCAGAAGCCTCTGTTTCTCTCAGCTTCAATCCTCGACAGTTTTTACAGCCAGAAGTTATGGGGATTTCTCTTCCTGGCACTGGTACCCTGGGCTGTGGGACCTGGTGTGAGGCCGGGACCCCTCTCCTTAGGGGGACTTCTGCAGTGGAGATATCCGCTCTGATTTTAATATGTCACATGTGCGTGTGGAACCAGCCCATTCCAAATCTCCACCCTTCCTACCAGTCTCAGTGTGGCTTCTTCTTTATTTCCCTAGTTGTAGGACTTCCATTCAGCAGATTTCAGGCAGTTCTGAATGATGCTTTTTCTGTAGTTTATTTGTAATTTTGATGTTGTTGGGGGAAGAGGCAAATACCATATTTACCTATACCACCATCTTGACTAGAAGTCTTGAGGCTCTATTTTAGACAGGATTTGGTGGTAAACAAAGACAAAAACTTCTGTCTTCATTGGTGTTAAAGTCAAGGGGGAGAAAGAAGGACATATTAATAAATAAAATACACTGTACATCAGTAAGCGATGAGTGAGATGAAGAGAGATATAGTAGAAAGGCAAAAAAAAAACCCAACAAAAAGCGGTGAGTGGGCTTTGGAATTTAAGTAGTATTTAGGGAAGGCCTCACCAAGTAGGTAATTGAGTAAAATTCTGAAGGGTGTGAGGAAATGAGCCAGGTAACTGAAAAAAGAGCATTGCCGACAAAAGAACAGCCAGGGAAATACCCTGATGTACCTGATGCCAGAGTCAGCCTGGCATGGTCAAGGTACAGAGACAGTTCACTGAGGTTGCTGTAGTGTGTCTAAGACAGAGTGGTAAAAAACGAGGTTCAAGAGTAAATGTGGGGGGAGATCTTATCTAATCTTGTAAGATACTGGTTTTGACTTTGATTGAGATGAGAAGTGTCTAGAATGTTTTGAGCATCACATGATTTTACTGATACTTTAAAGAGTCCTGTGGTTGCTGTACTGATATCTTGGTGGCCAAGGGAAGAAGCAGAGACCACTGAAAGGCTACAAATATCCAGGTAAGATGGTGGCCTTGACCATGGAGGAAGTAGCAGAGATTGGGGATTGTTAAGAGTCCAGATTTGCTTACTGGGGATGGAGGATAAGAACAAGAAAGAAGTCAAGTATGACTCCAAGGTTTTGAGCCTGAGCAATCTGAAGGAGAAATGACATTTAAGGCCTTGACACTAAATAGAGCCCCCAAGGAGAGAATGTAGCTGGAGAAGATGAAAGGTCTAAGAAATGAACCAGGACCTTTCACAGTGAGGATGTGGGAGAAGAGAAGCTCAGAAAGGAGACAGAGGAGAAACAAACTATGAGTTAGAAAAATCTGGAAACCAGGAGCAACTGTGTGACAGGTACTTTAAGAAGAACAAAGTATGCAACTACATAAAATGTCACTGAGAATTGACTCTGGCATCTATTCACTGGGAAAGCACTGGTGACCTCAACAAGAGTATTTTTAGTGGGTGAGCTAAAAGAGTCTCACTGCAATATTTAAAAGACAGTGGAAGAATAGAAATGGACCTAGCAAGTATAGACAATTCTTTCAAGGAATTTAGCTCTAACAGGGAGGAAAGACACAGGGCAAGAGTCGGAGAAGGAAGTCATGGCCACTGCTCTCCTGGAAACCCTTGAGTGGTCCTTTCTCCTCATAGATCAAGTCCACACTCACTAACTTGTCATTTAGGGCTCACTCTAATAATAAACTTTTCCAATCAGACTCCCCACATGAACTTCCCCCCCAACCAGCAAAGATGACTCATGTCTCTACACTGTATCACCCAGTTAGTCTATCCAGGTCCCAAGTATTGTATCAGTGACCAAAGAGGAATAAGATGAGGTGCCCAACCCACAAAGAACCAACTCATAGTTCGGTGGGACAGTTAGACAGTAACAATGCAGCTTGAGAGCTGTGGAGTCCTGATGCATCAAGTGTTCTGCTGCTGACAGGGAGACTGGAAATACTGCCTGGGGAAATCCAGGAGTGTTCTACAGTGGGATCACATAGGAACTCAATCAACAAGAGTTTATGCTAAAGCAGACACATGGCGAAATAAAAACATACAATGGAATACATTTCCATGCAGCTGTAAAACAATATCTGATGGGTTGGGGTGGAGTGGTATAGGCAGAAGACTGAAAAGGTGAATTGGAGAAGTTAGAAAAAATAACAATGACCCTAATTAACAATTATTTAGTATTTCCTATGTACCAGGCCCTTTAACCTCATCACAAGTGTTACCATAGCCAAAATCCTTATGAAATGGACACACTGATAATCACCAAATGTTATCACAACCAACATCCCTGTGAGGTGGACATCACTGATAATCCCCATTTTACAGATGAGGAAAAGAAGGCTCCGAGGTAAAGTAACATGTTTATGACTGCAGAGCTAGAATATGGTGAAGCTACAATTTGAACCCAGGCAGCATGACCTTGCAGTTTGAACAGAAGCTAGAGTATTAGGTCTCTTTCTAGCAGGTTAAATGGCAAGTTAGTACATCGTGCACCGCAGACATTTCAGTCAACAACAGACTACATATACGATGGTGGTCCCATTAGATTATAATGTAGCTGAAAAATTCCTCTTGTCTAGTAACACTGTCATAGCACAATGCTTATTCACGTGTTTATGGTAATGCTGCTGAAAATAAACCTTTGGACTCTCATATAAAAATGTAGCACATATAATTATGTATGGCATGTACACTTGATAATGATAATAAATGACTGTTACTGGTTTATATATTTCTATACTATACTTTTATTGTTGTTTTAGAGTGCCCTCTTTCTACTTATATTAAAAAGAAGTTTGCTGTGAAACAGTATGTCATGTTATGTCAGCAGCAGCCTCATACCTCTCATGCTTACTGCATTTCTGGATTTCATCATTTTCTCTTGTGCTTGACTTACTCTCATGTTGTTTTATAAATTTAGTGTAGCCTAAGTGTACATTATTTATAAAGTTGACAACAGTGGACAGTAATGCCCTAGGCCTTCACATTCAGTCACCAGTTACTGACTCACCCAGAGCAGAATCTTCCAGTCCTGCAAGTTTCATTCATGGTAAGTGCCCTATGTAGGTGAACCACTTTTTATCTTTTTTACTATAGTGTTACTGTATTTTCTCCATGTTTACATATGTTCATATACACAAATGCTCACTATTGTGTTATAATTACCTGCAGTATTCAAAACAATAACATGCTGTAGAGCTCTATACCTTAGAAGAAACAGGATTTACCATACAGGATTTACCATATAGTAGGTTTATACGATCTAGATTTGTGTAAGCATACTCTATAATATTCACACAATGACAAAATCACCCAACAACGCATTTTTCAGGACACAGCCCCATCATTAAGCAGTGTGTGATTGTATTTATACATTAGAAGCCCAACTCAACAGGTGGGGGAAAAGAGGGACAAGAAGGTAGGGAAAAGACAGGAAGGGTTGGGCAGGGGTGGAGACAATGGGGAGGAAGGGGAATCAAGGGGTACCACTTAGGTGGAACTGAGAGGGCACAACAGCCAAACAAATGGGAGATAGGTTTGGCAAAAAGAGGAAAGGAAAACTCAAGAGGCGCAGTTTGCACCACTAGTAGCGGTTGCAGCTATTAACCTAGATCAACCAGATCAGAAGAAATGGGAAGAAAGAGAGGCAGAGACAGAGAAAAGCACCATGCTAAATTCCAGATATGTCTTCTCTTCTTCTTCTCCCTCTGAGGACGGCTGTTCTGAGTCTCACACACACACACAATTAAACAATTGGGGAAAGAAATACTAATTTTGTTGGGTATAGCAATAAAATTGTGACTGTTAAAATGAGTCTTTATGTGTTAGAGACAACTACTAAAATACTTTAAGGTAAAATGATATGACAATCTGCTGAAATCCACTCTAGCAGGGAAAATAGTAAGTGGGTGCACTGGATGGAAAAAGAACAGAATTGATAACTTCACAAGCAGACAAGTCCTGAAGTGAGCAGTCTGAACAAATGCTGAGAGCAGAAATGCTAGAGCAAGGACAAAGAGGTTATGAATGAGGATACCAGAGCCAAAGAACAGTGCCTGTGAAAATTGTTACCTTACAACAGGCCTTATTCCCTGGGGAAACCAGCCGAGGCTCTGATCACTGGACAGGATACAATAGGGTACAAGATGTCAAAGTTGAACAAGGGATACCCATCAGCAGTTCAGTATGCAAAAGGTAATTGGGAACCTACCTGAAGCTGGGCTGTCAGGAGCCCAGGAATCCTCCCTTTGCCCACTAGACTGTTCTCTCTGGCCAGACAGGAGCTGTAGTGAGGCAGAACAAGAACCTAAAGATTCAAGAGAGTCTCTGGAAACCCTCAAGATCCAGCAGGATAGGGCTTCCTTTTCCTTAAACGCATTAGGAATGGATTTGTCACATTAGAAAAGACTGGGGAGCTTGCTGGGAACAGAGCTGATATGCGGGCTGTGAGCACTGCCTGCACAGACATGCTACTGACACTGACACTGAGCCAATCCTCTCTCACCATTGCTCTTAATAAGGAAGTTAATACCTATCTGGCACTTAGTATATAAGAGACTGTTCCAGGCACTGTACAAATTTTACCTCATGCTATCCTCACAACCCAGTGAAGTATGATTTATTATCTTCATTTTACAGTTAAGAAAATTGAAGCACAGTGAGGTCAGTCTCCTGCCCAAGGGGACACAGCTATAAAGTGACAGAGCCTGGAAGAAATATGGCTGTGAAGGCCATGCTCTTAAGCAGGGCAGTGATAAGAAATCACTGTGGGTAATAAGTGTCCTCAGTGAATCATTTTGAAATGAAATCAGGAAGGGTCACTAGGTGATAAGCATTGAATCTGGGTGATGGGTCTATGGAGTTCTATCTCCTTCTGTCTTAAATTTCTCCGCAATAAAAAGTTAAAATGAAACTTAAAATCCCAAAGCCTAGCCACACCAGAGATGTGGAAATCCGTGATACCGGTGGTCAGCGACAGTCCTTCAGATCTTTGAAAAACTTGCCCAGTGGGCCCCAGCAGTACTTACTCCTCCAATGCCCGAGCCCAGGGACGACCTGCCAAACTGAGATCCTAAGATCGTACCAAAATGACCATTCTAACACCTGGTGCAAGCCAGATATGTTTGACTAAGCGCGCCGGCCCCTCACCCCGCCTCGGCAAAGCGGAGGGGTAGTGGGGTTACCCAGCAAAACCCCAGTGGAAGGCCCTACTCCACCACATGAAGACAACGGGGAGGTAGCCTACTTACTAAATTCCTCAAAACCCCAGGACTTGTAACATAAAAGACCCCTCACTCCCAATATCGCTATTTCGGCCAAGGCTGAATATGTCCCAACCCAGAGGAACCCTAGCACCAAATGCCGAAGCCAAGCACCCATCACCACTGGGCTTCTAGGCTGAGCTTCACCCCTGTCGGAGATGCGCGCCCACACCCCCAAATAAAACACACGATAGTGCACGGCCTGAGCCACGACAGCGCGTCCCCACCACTATCTCATCACCCCGCCATCTGCACCTTCCCCAGCCCCAGCCCACAGACAAGCCTTTCAGACCTACCTTGCTGAGCAGGGGAACGGTTGAGGCAAAGGTGACGCGGGAGCCTGCCTCACCGGCGCCACCAAACAAGGGGTCAACCCAGCCACCAGCTGAGGCTCTAGCTACTCCAGCAGAGCGACGGGACTACATTACCCAAAATCCGCGGTATTGCGCGGGGACCACACCTCCCAGGATGCTCGGCGCAACCAGAAGCGCGCCGACGGCCAGCAGCTCCCATTGGCCTCTGAGGGACCCGTTTCTGGATAACATGCTTTGGTTACCACACTGACACCTGGATTTCCCCTTTTTTTCTTAAAACCACATTCACAAAACATATACAGGGCCATGGGTACAGCTCTCCATCGTGCAGCCCTCCTCTAAACCCTTTGCCCCAAAGACTTCACTCCCCACTGATGCCTGAAATGACTTCCGCATCCGGTACCGGGCCCGCCCTTCAGCGCGAAGAAGTGACGTATCAGGGAAGGCTGCTTTTCGGATTCTGGAGTTGACGCGGGTCGGTGGTAGTCCGGTGGTGAAGTTTTCCAGCTCCTCCTGCAGATTACAAACCTGTGCCAGGTATCCCATGAGCGCCGGACAGCTGTGGTCTCGTACCTAATTCATGTACCCTTTTAACTCCATTAAAGCCATGGCGAGACCGAAGCTGGGAGAGGGGATGCATCACAGCAAATTAGACCCGGAGTCTGAGCACACGTCTCAACCCGAACACTCCATTACGGGTACTCTAAGACCTTTTCCTCTGTTGGAGTCCGCTTAAGTATGAGCAAACTCATATCTCTCCTGGCAAACAGGAACGGGCTGAGCCCGTTGTCGGTTAGGCCGCTTGGGTCTTTGAGGGGGTCTCTGGTTGAGAAGAGGGCTACGCTGGGGCCATCCCGGACACTTCAACTGGGGAGCCGGAGAGCAAGCCCCATTTCATATCTACGTGTACCAGAGAACGAGGAAGAGACGAGAATATTTTCTAAAATTTCTTAGCTCTCGCGGGATGAATCCATTCCCTCTTGCCCCCAGGCTGCCTTGTTTGTAGTGAATTCAGTTCAGCCCTGGCCCTGCATGAGTGCCCAGTTTTACTTCGAACCTTCTCACAGCCCCAACAGTAAGTCATTTGCCTAAATATTAGTTGTTAACCCACAGAGGTTCAAGGTAACAGCGCAAAAGTGTCTGTGCTTAAGGGTCCAGTGACACGTGCAGTATGTGAAAGGCAGGGGTCTCTGCGCCTTGGTGATAAAAGACTAAGGAAGACTTCCAAGATGAGGGGCTAGCTGAGCTTTGGTGAGGGCAATAGGCAAGAAGAGTTGGAGAAAGCCAATCTCGGGATCTAAGCCACTGGCTTCAGTGAGGGTGGTTTTCAGTAGCAAATGGTCTTGCATCTGTCTGATTTTCCATGCATATAGGTGAGGATGTCATCTAGCTATACACATGTGGCATACAGATGCTTGGCTTGGTCAGCCTTATGTTTCATATCTGCAAGAGTTCTCAGCATTTAATAATTAAGAGTTTCCATATAGAAATCTGGATTGCCTGCTTTCTAAAAATATTCTTTCTTGGCCTTTCTCTCCATCTCCTTCCCTGTAGTACTTCCCACTTCCACTCTGCGCAACTCCACACCCCCTCTGGAATACCTTGCTTGCTTTCCTGATTCTTATAAACCGTATCAATCCTTCAAGACCAAATTCCCAGCTCTCTTTCATGAAACCTTCCCTGATCTCTCTCCTTTGAGGAATCTACAGAGATTCCTCCGGCCCTGGCTATACCTGAAAGACTTTATTTTTGTTTTAAAAATTTTAATGTGATTAAAAAACTTTTCACAGTGAAGATTGTATTGATAATGTGTAACATTTGCTGGTCTTAGACTTCCACAGGGAGATGTCCAGGGTGATTACACACAGTCTTTGCTTTCACTTTGTCCAGCACCCAAGCATACATGAAGAAGCCCTGGCCCATCTCTGCTGCCTCTTCTTGAACTTCTCAATGATTCTGTTGTGGATACCCCCATACTTTTGATAAGATGCCCAGTGGGGGTGGACTTGCCAGAGTCCACATGGCTGATGACAACAGTATTTACGTGGGTCTTCTTTTTGCCCATAGCAATGGGTTTGCTAGTTACTCGAGAAAAAGAAGCAAACCTGAACCAGAGATTCGCAATAACCACAGCAGTTGTGTACCTGGAAGCTTTTAAAAAATACAGTGTGTGAACACCACCTCCAAGAGATTATGAGTTTGGAGGAGGGCTCTGGCATTCATTATTCATAACAAAACTGCTTTCACCCCAAGAAAGGAAAGTGTCATGATAATGTAGAGGAAAAACCTGTTTTATAAAATCAGAAGTTCAATTGTTGGTTAGTTGTTGTTATTACTGAAATGAATATATATCACCTGGGATCTCGAAAACATGCAGATTCTGAATCAGTGTGCCTGGGATGGAGCCCAAGCATCAGCGTTTCTAACAAGCTCCCGGATAACATTGACTAAGTTTGTCCTCAGACCACACTAGGTAACAAAGATTTAATCCATTCAGTGGCTCAAGTCCTTAAAGCTCATACAGTTACTGTACTTTGCCTTGTATAATGCACTCCCATATATAATATTTACCCATGGTTTTAGCCCAAAATTTCAGAGAAAAAAATCTTTCATTTTAATTTTTTAATTCAACCTTTTATTTTCACTTATTTTTTTGTATTATAAAAGAATTTTAGCATTTATTTTTGAACATACAGATATTGTTATTGCTTTCTAGAGTTATAATGAATAAGCATAAGTAAAAGAATTAAAAAACATTTATATTGGGCTTCTGGCCAAGTTGGAGGCGTAGGTAGATACACTGTACCTCACTGTACCTCCTCACACAACCAAAAGAAGGACAACAAATTTAAAACCAAAAAATAACCAGAACTGCCAGAAAGTTGAACTGTATGGAAGTCTAATACCAAGGCATTAAAGAAGAAAACTCATCCAGAATCATAGGAGAGGTGAAGATGGGAAGATGGGATGGAGAGGACATGGGACAAGGTGGTGGCAGGAGGATGGGGTGGGTGAGATTGCAGCTGATGGTCCCATATTTGCATGCAGATAAACTGGGAGGAACAGCTGGGGATGGAGACAGACTACTTAATTCAGGGCTCCAGTGTGGGAAAAGAAAGGCTCAGAACCTTTGGCTATAAAAACCTGTGGGGGTGTGGCAGCAGGAGAAACTCCCGGCCTCACAGGAGAGTTCGTTGGAGAGACCCACAGGGTCCTAGTAGGTACACAAACCCACACACCTGGGAATCAGCACTAGAAGGGCCCAATTGCTTGAAAGTAGTGGGGGAAGTGACTGAAAGCTGCCTGAGAGCCAAGCGAGCAGCATTGTTCCCTCTCGGACACCTCGCCCACATAGAGCACCACACCACAGCAACCGGGGTTGCCCAGGTGATTGTATGCTTAAAAAACTCCAAAAAGGAAACAGAAAGGATTCTAACACATCTCTTAAAGGAACTGTAGAATATCTCTCTGGCTAACACACATGGCAAAAGCACTTGGGTCTTCCAAGTGTCACATTATGAAAATAAAAGGGAAAAAAAGGATGAAATCAAGAAACATTCCTGTTAACAAAATAGTGAGGATATGGAAGAAGTTTTCTCCTGTTGCCCCCCTCTACTAGAGGTGCTACAATATTCACACGAGAGAGAATCGAAGATAGGGGAAGAAACATTTAGAAATGACTTGCCTGTTTAAACATTTAATTTGAATCCCCAATTCACTGAAATCTTCTTTGTATTTAGTGTATCATTTAGTGACAGCCAAGAATCTGAAGAGTTGGGGTTTTCTCAGTTAATGCATATACCCTCAACACATGTGAGGCACTCATGACCTTTTGTGGTTGACATAAAGGTCTACCTTGAGCTGAAAATATCCCAGCTTATTGTTAATACGGAGCTATTTCCTAAGTCAGAAAAGTTAGTTAACAAGAACTATAATAGAACACAGTTTTAAAATAAAATTGAAAGCATCTCTAACGCACCAAGTTAAGAGTTTTGTTTCCACCTGGCCCAGTGATACAAAGCTGTGCTAGCTCACCCTTCAAGACTTTAGGGGGTCTTATGGAGTGGGATGGAGCACTAGACCTGCCTGGAGGACAGGCACTGTGCAATGCCTGGGTGACCTTGTACAAACCACAGTTCCCAAGCCTCGAACTTTCATTGTAAAGTAATGGGGCCAAACCAGAAGACCTCATAAGCGCCTTTCTTGAGCTCACACCTGCTTATATATGAATTTGTTTGATTTGACTGTACACTTTTGGGGGGGGCCAGCTTGTGTACCCTTTTGTGATGTGTACCTCAACATGACCAGAGAATTTTCTGGTTGAACTTTGTGTACCAACAGCATGTTAAAGACCTTTCAACACTCACTACCTTAACATGAATATTTACTTCACCGATTCCCCAAAGAGACTGTGAGCATCTTGGGTGCATGAGCAGGTTCCCTCCCGTTTGAATCCCAGCAGCCTGGCTAAGCAGGACACAGTAAGCACCCAATACATGGCTCTTAGCTGTCTACATGTTATAGCATGTTATTGAGGTAATATAAATATATAACTAATATATCAAACTAATATAAATGACTATATATGTGGGAGATATAATATTTATTTTTAAAATTAATCTACTTAAATGTTTATCATCTAAGATGACCTTTGTGTTTCATTTTAAAAAGTTTTCAGGCAAGAAAAATTAATTTGACATCTATGAAGTTAAACAGTCAAGATAATGGGAATCATTAATGTTTTATTTTTTTTTTAGACTCTTGAACTCCAGGGAATTAAAAATATATCATATAAACAAGACTGAATTAGCTTTTGTAACAATTGAAGAAATATACAAAAGGTAACCATTTAATACCTGACCACTTGCTGGAGCCCATCCATCAATTCTGTAACTCTGAACTGTCAATTCATTTAGTGATTTTTCTTCTTGGTGCCTGTCTTTCTAAAGATAATCACTTTATAGTCAACAGCACAGGTCCTTTTATTTCATTTTGTAAAGCCACAGTCCAAGAGAACCCCAAAATGTCAAGTGTACAGGAAACTTTCTAGTGAAAGTTTTGATTTTTAATAATCTGTGTTTTCT